CTTCTCAAAGAAAAGTATGACTTACGTGTATTTTCATCGTTATCCTCAATGCCATCAAATGTTACTGAAGTTGATTTGATATGTCTTGCCGACGAGGCCTGGACGTCTCGATATTGTTGCTACGGAGACAGATGTTAATGATGAGCACACGTACATGTACCCGGATATTTTTAAGATCTATTTTTTTCATCATAAGTTTAGGTCTATCACGGTTTATATGAAAAACCGTTGGAAACGATAACCGTATCTAGATAATTTCGAAATATACTTAATGTCGGTCGTCTATTCAGGCTCATCGAGGAGTCTTTGGGGAGGTTTGTTTATAGGGGTATAAAGCACATTTTTAAGACAAATGTAAATTAGTGATTTTCCGTCGACCGTAAAAAAATAGGAAAACTAATAGTAAACTTCAAACTCATTGTTCTTTTTTCACTTTTGTGTCTTAATGGGTCAGGGTCAACCAGCATCCCTCACAAACTTTTGCTTATGTTTGAAAATAAAACTACATCAAAATATAAGGAAAACGTACTCTCTCGTATTATTCCTTTAGCTCTAAAAATTGCAATATAACAGCACGACCGCAGTGAATGCCGGTTCATCGTGCCCCTTTAAGTGTGTGATATTACTTTACCTCGAGTCGTTCTAGTTGTAAAACTAACGAGTTCTTTTCTGTACTTAATGCCTCGATCATGGTCTGTTTCTGGATGAGATTCTCTGTGAGTGCTCGCACTCTATTCTCCAATTCAGCTTCGCTAGTAGACGTTAGTGTTTTGGTTGCAAGTTGATTTCTTAGCCTTTGGATTTCGCCCTCTCGTTCCTTTGAATGGAATAATGACATTTGTAAAATACTATGCATGCAAATCAATGCCGCGGGACTCCTTTGCTAAAAAAGCTGACCAAAGCGGGTAGGGAGATATGAAGAATTGGAGCAGCCCACAGGAAAATATATTTAAAATAACTTGTCATGCATCCCTAGATTAAAAAAATACTGCTCTAAAAAATATATTAGAAACAACAACAACAAACAAACAAAAAAAAAGCTCTAGACTACAGCTATTTCAGAAAACGTTGAATGCTCAACACAGATATGGAATAGTGCATTCCAAGACCAGAATGCATTGCTGGTTGTTCTATCGTCGTTCAAAAGCAGTTTTCGTAGTTTGAGAGTGACTTTGCCAGCACCATACAACTTTCAGGAATCAATTGTGTCGCAGCTTCCTCCGAATGTTTTAGCAGTAATGTATTACTGTCTTGGAACACATTTTTTCAGTATCACAGTACTCAATATAGTCTCTTCTCGAAGCCGTTATGAGGTTCGTTACCAGGTCTCTCTCAGAACTATTTCCAATACCTGTGAACGAGCCTCATAAGGGCTGCATATTCAATGTTTTCTGAGATACATGGATTAACTGTACACAAACCTGTATCTGACTCATAAAACTGTTTTTCGTCCTTTGCATTTCATCCTGAGCAAATCGTACATCCTGTTACAAAACAA